CCAGGGTAGGGTTAGGGTTAGGAAAAGGGGGTGTCCTGGCATGGTTTTGATGGTTGGAATGTGTTTAGGATGGGCAGAAATAATGAGCTGCGCAGAGTAAGCTACTCAAGGAATGTCCTTTCAAAATCGCCTGTTTGCAATGGAACTATACCGCTATGTTAGGGTCAGGGTGTGCAGCTGTAAACGGTTAGGGTTACAAAAACGAGGTGTCCTGGCCTTTATGCTCTTCCCACCGCTTTTTGCTTGGGTGCTGTGTCATTCCCGATTGTACACCTGTGTATAGCGACTGCCTTGGTGTACCGATTGCACATCCGTAGAGTCTTTTTAGCCACGGAGTTTTTAAAGAGCAGAATCACGCCACGATAAAGGAAACTACAAAGCTTGAGCTACGCAATTTCCGTCGTCTTTGCAGCAGGGTAAGCGCCCAGGTTTCAAGCACGGCTCAAGGAGGGGGGTCTACGTATCTAGCTAGGGAGGGCGAGTAGTGCTTCCAAGGCCTTACCTTTCTGTGGTGGGATTTTGGCACCTGCTTCCGGCCGACAGAATGAAATGAGCAGGGCGGAATGGAGCGTAATTTTGTTGAAGGGGAAGAGAACACAAAAAGAAAGGCAATGAGTGATGGATCAAGAGGAGACTGAAAATGGTACCGTATCCTCTGGCGGCGGCCAACGACTCTGCTCGGTTTCTTGGCAAAGGGACTCTTTCCACGCACTGGAGACCAGCCAGAAATCCAACTCCGGGAGCGACTAAATTAGCCATGCAATATTTCTCACTCTTAGGATGGGCCTGGTTTGAGCACGCTTTTCCTCCCACCCCCCCAAACACACACCTTCAGGGCTATCCTGCGTGTGAAACAGCAACATGGCAGGCAGGTATTCAACCAGGTGAAGCTCAGCGGAGGTGCCAGATACATGACCTGTTGAATTTCCTGCTGGTGGTGCAGCTGCGAAAGCCACAAGGGAAATGGCTAATTGGGGATTGGAGGGGTTACGAATTCGCCAGAGCCCCCCCCTCCTGGCACGATGCAGACCTCGCCTCTGCACGTTTTGTGAATTCCCATCCAATTGAACCCTGAACCAGACTTTTATTTTATGTAAGACAAAGGCCAAAAACACTCCTACTGCCTGTCCATAATTCATGATTTCACTGAATGCCCAGTTGAAAGCACACCCGTTTCCCTGCCAGAGGTCCCCCTACCTTGATGAGGACTAGCAGCTTCTGCAATACAGAAGCTCTGTGCCACCTGAGTTGGCCCTGATCCACTTTCTTCCACACGTCAGACACTGCTCCAGAGCTCCACACGCGAGGCCCAGGTAAGCACCTCTCCACAGCCTGTGCAGAACGCATCTAGTCTAGCCGGTCGCATAGTTTTGGCCCAGTAGAAACACTTCTAGTTCAATGTCCAGGTCAGGAGCCCAGCCCACCTCGCAGGGTGGTTGTGAAAGCAAAGCAAGAGAGCAGAGGAGAAAACCCCGGTTCCCTGCCTCATTCTCCTTTGTGGGACGTTAGTCTCAGTGTCGTTTCCAATAGGGAAAGAAAATGAGGCGAGAGAGAAAGGGGAATTACAGCGACGGCCAAATGCCCAGCTCAGACGGCAGCCGGCACTGGAGTGGCTCCACCCACACCCAGCCTCCTGAAGAACACTCCATTTTTCCTCTTCCCTCCTCCTCCTTTTTCCTCGCATGCCATGCCTTTCCAGATTCCAAGCCCGTGGACAGGGATCGTCTTATGCTGCTATCAGGCACACTAAATGCCTTCTTAGCCGAAGGCCAGGTCTTTTCAAATAACACGTCTCCTTTGCTGGAGGAATTGAAGCATGGTTGGATAGCCGGCCGTCAGGAAAGCTGAGGTAATGAATGCAGAGGGGATGGATCCACTAGATGACCTCTAAGGTCTCTTCCAAGATGCCACGATCTTTAGCCCCCTTGGCCTCTTCTGCCCACTTCCAACTTTTCTAATTTTACCGCAAAAGCTGCCAACTTGTTTTTAATGGTCCCGTTCCTTTATCTTACGGGCAACTTGACACAGGAAAAAGAAGTATTGCCAGGAAATTTTTCATATAAAGGAGGGGAGGGGGCTGTACCGACACGATGTCTGCCAAAGCAGAAGAGCAGGGTTTAGAAATGAGATGGCGACCCTTTCACACTCATCGGAATGAGTCGGCTGTTTACCGACAATAAGAAGACGCGCCAGCCGTCGCCATGCAGGCGTCATGGGCTGGTCACGTAACCAGCTCTGCCTTGCTTTACTTTTAATTAAAAGCCTACAGAAATCCAATCAAATAAGAAGAAAAATACACAAACAAGTATAGCTCAGGCTGAGACGGAAAGGGGACGCCTCCACTTCAAAATTGTGCTGGGCTTGATTTCAGACCAGCTGGGGAACCCAAGGAGAGCCGCCCCAGGTCCGGTTTAAGGCCGGACTGGGGCTTCCAGGCTTGTGGTTTCATGCCCCTGCTAGTCGAGCCTTCATGTTCAGTGGCAGTGTATCTGCAACCCACAATTGCTGCAGGCAAACCCCCGAAAGGCCTGTTTTCCCCAAGCCCTGCTTTGTAGGGCTGAGTCTCTGATCTGGCAGCTCTGTGCTGATCTTCTTGTCTGTTTAAACGCTGAAATGCCTCTGACGGTTACAAGACTTCACGTCAGGTCACCCAGAAGGCAGGTGCTGAACGAGCCCAGAGTGGGAGGAAGGAAGGGGCAACGGAGGGGTCATGTTTTCTCCAACCCTACAAGCGATTACGGCTATTAAGCTATTTCCAGCCCTCCTTTGAAGCGTTTACCCTTTCGGAGGAGGTAAACACTGACCAGGCATCACATTAACATCAAAGGAAAGGTGCCAGAGGATCAAAGGGAATATAAATTATACATCTTTTGATGGGGAGAAGATAAAACGAACTGGTTACTTTTCAAGGCCGGGGAGAAAGGAAGAGCTGAGACAGCAATCGTGTTTTACAGGAAATCATATCTGAGGATGGCAACGGATTTGATGGAAGATGAACAGGCACTCCTGGGCAGACCTGATACAAGGAGAATTTTGAACTAGTCAAGTTCCCAGACCATGTGCTGCTCAGCGCCAATGCATCCACTTGGGGTCTGATTATTATTAATTATTATCATTAAATTGCTTTACCACCCAGCAGCTGAAGCTTTCTGGGCGGTTCGTAGCAGCACATTCAAATACAATAAAACATTATTGTATTTTACAATATTAAAACATACTTGTTTAAAATCATGAAAAAGTTGGCAATATAAAATTTAAAGCTGATTAATACATCTCTAAAAGGCGGTGCCTTGGCCGAACCAAGCCCCTAAAAATGGAAAGAGGGTCATCGTCTGAACTGTGCAGGTGCTTTCCAGAAAATGTTTGGGGGTCAAGGCCCAGCAGCCTGCATGAGATCGGACTAAAGCCCCAGCAAGTGGAAGGAAGCCGCATCCAAGTATCCCGGCCCCAGAAAGCGAGGAATTCCCACACACCTGCAATTCAGCATCATCTTGCTGTTTACAGCGCTACATGTCAGCTTTATAAAGATGGGGCCGAAAGGGCACGGCCTTCACCCCAGAGGGGACATCCACAGGCATAAGTGAATGCCACAGCGTGCAGAAATATTTTTAAAAACCTTCGAACGAGAGAGAGAGAGACCCTCAGAGCTGCCTGCTGCGGACCGAGGCACGCAAAGCCAAGAGCGGGGGATCAGAAAACGGGTGAGCAAAGAGCAGCTGAGCACTCCAGGCCTGCACAGGGCTGGCCGGCCAGAACGGCCAAGAGGCATGCTCTGCGCTGCAATCTCTTGTTGCAGTGCTTGCTTTGAGGGGCTTCGGAGGGAAAAGCTGCACCCCAAGCTGCCTCCCCTCCCTCCCACCATGTTTGCTCGTCGCGCACCCTGCCCCTTCCGGCTTCTCCACATCCTGCCTCACCCCCTCCTCCCACACGCACCCTCCGATCCCAGCCCTCCTTGTCCAAGGCACCCCCTCCCACAAAAACGAGCATTTCACGACACGCAAAAGGCTGATTTCTGCCTCTGACGCAGCTGCCAGAAAAACACACTTGCGGAAGACGCTCAGCCTCATTTAACAGACGCATTCAGGAGCGGAGAAGTTGGTCGACAGCATCAGGCTGGCCGGCCGCTTCTCAGCCCCTCTCGCCAGCTGCCCCCTTCCGAGAAGAGGCCAGGAGGTGTCCCGAGATGGCCGACTGCAACACCCACGGCACCTCGCTGGGCTGCGAGTCTGTGCCTGGCCCAAAGTCACCCACTCGGCTCCATGGCTGAGCGTGGATTCGAACCCAGATCCCCGAGTCCCAGTCCCATGCCTTTTACCACTACTTGACCCTCGAGCCTGAGATAGTGTGTTGTCTGAACCCAGGCACACTCGCAAACCGTGGGTGCTTAACCGCAAGCCACCCATGAAGAGAAGACGCGCTTTTTCAGTGTGTGGCTGGGCTGGGGACTGTGTCTCCCTGGTGCTGAACAAACCCTGGTTGGTGACACGGCTGGGTTCAGACGACGTGATCGTCTTCCCATAAAACTGATAGTTCAGCGGCAACGCAGGCCCTATCCATGCTCGGCTGCTGGGCGATGCAAGTCCCTGAACCCGGCCACAAGCGGACAAGGAAACTTCGTTCTGAAACTGCGGCACCAGGAGACTGGCGTACATTTTCGGGATGCGAGTTGGAGGCTCGCCGCCCGCCACAACCCGTGCCCGGTCGCACTGCCTTCCCTACCTTGGCCTTGTTGATCGTGCAGTGCAGAGCGTTGTTTTCTTGATCGTACAGCAAGCTGAAATCCAGCGTCCCCAGGGCAGCTGGGAGAGATGAAAATGGAGAAGTTGATTAAAAATGGCTCGGCCACTTCCGGGATGCCAATGGACGGCAGCGGAGGAACCCGGCGGAGAGCGCCGCGTGATTTTCTGCATTCGCAAGTTCATAGAACTTTTTCTCAGGCTGCGTTATAAGAGCGTTCTCCGGAAAATTAATATTTGGGGACACTTTGAGGAGCTTTGGAGTCTCACCTGGGTCTATTTCTGGGCATTCTGATATCACAAATGGACAGGTGATTTTTTTATTTTATTTTAAGCAAACAGGCGTACTAACAAGTAAAGTAACACACCTTTGTTCGAACCCAGATCGTCTGAGTTCCAGTCCCGTGCTCTTAACCACTACACCGCACTGCCTCTCTCTCCCATTTCTACTGTGCTGCACCTTAAAAACCCCATCCGTCGCAATAATGAGACGAATCATGCAATATTTTGATATCCGCAGTCATCGTCACCACCGCATTCGATCCATTCCTTATCTTTCCATCCCATCCAAGATCCGGGACACTCTGGCTGTTTGCAAAGATTAAAACCCTAAACATACAGCATAACCAGTGGGACAGAAAACGATCAGCACTCAGAAATATAAAATAACGCCGCGCCATCAGCACCGTCGGCAAAGGGGTCACGCTCGGGGCTCAGGCCCCCCAGCCTCCTTCCCCCCCTGGAGCTTTATCGGGACGGCTGAAGACACTTGTCTTGGTGCGAGACACGGCAGGAGCTGCCACGGAGGCCCCGAGGGCCATGGCTGTGCCTTCATCTAAGCACTTCAGCAACAGAAGCATCCATGCTGGATGCTTTGGGGCGGCCTGGTCTCAGTCCACAGCCCTGCAGCCAGTTTGGCAAGGACAGCGGTCAAGCCCACGGACGGATGACTCCAGCTCTGCCCTGTGGGCCGAGCGGGAAGAGACGAGGATGAATTTCTGGTCCTACGGAGCTGGCGTTTGGCATTCGAGGCTCAGCTCGAAAGCGGGGTTCGTAGAAGCGCTTGGCTGCTGGACCCGTGGGGTCCAACCCCGTTTCTGCTGCCACTTCCCTGAAAAATAGCAAGCCCATCCAGCAGAATGATTCTGCTCTGAGATCCTGAACTGCAGAGCGAACTCCCTCCGCCGCATGATGCTTCGGGAGGCTGGATATTTCAAAGCAGGCGGCACCGAAATGTCTTTTTCCTTGCAATTGTCGCAAGTAAACATCAGGGCCCGATCCAGCAAATGCTGTGGCGATGCAAACAAAGCTGACGGGGCGGCTCGTTAACAGCCCCACCTGGCCAGGCTGAAATGTCCCTACAGAAATTGCGTGGCAGAGCCGGGAGAGGAAGACGTCCCTGGAGCCTCGTTAAGACTTCCAATTACTGCAGGCAAACAACAGATTTTCCAGTGTTTTGCAAGAAGGACATACTTTGAAGGCTTTTGGTGCCCCCATGCAGTCCAGGACGACTGGTTCCCACTGGGAATTTGCCAGTTTGGGGGTCCCCATCCCAGTCCACAAGCCTGGAATGGCTTTCCTAAGCTTCAGTTACAGACAAGGAGAGCTTTGAGAATAAATTGGCAAGTGATTTGGGCTCTGCCCTTTGTGTCTTTGGCCCACCCACCTCCACCAGAATCCGGCCCCGCAGGCAGCTCCAAAATGGGAGGGGGTCTTCAGGTTGAACACCCCCGATGAGCATTATAGGGGCTCTCCATGGGGGTGAACTGCACCCTCACCAGCATGGAGCATCACAGGTCGGTCCTATAAATCTCAAATTAAAAGCTGCAAGGAATATGGAACCCCCACGGAAAGAGGCGTTCCAAGGTCCCCAGCACAGTTCCAGCTTTCATGCACCCCTCCTCATTTCTAGAAGAAAATGCCGCTCCTCTGGGTTCATTGCATGCAAACCGAGTTAAAAGATGCTTAGAATACTGCTAGCGACTCTCTCGACGCTAGGCTACTGCAAGGCTCTCTGCCTGGGGCACCCCTTGAAGCAGCCGCTTGTACAAAATGCGTTAGCCAGGCTGATTCAAGGCCCTGCTTTTATCTTATGAAGTCCTGTGTGGCCTGAGGGAATGCCTTTCCCGACCATCATCTGCCCAGACACGATCCTCACTTTCGTGGGCCTTCCTCCAAGGACCACCTCCAAGGGAGGCTTGGACCGAGGCCACAGGCAGGACCTTCTCGGTGGTGGCCCCCAGCTGCAGAACAAACCTCCCCCAGAAACCCAGCTGGCACCAACTTTGCTATCTTTTCAGTTCCCAGTTCAGACCATCCTCTGCTGCAGGGCATCCAATTAGCCACTGGGGCCTACTGGTCGTTAGACAGGACTTGAGAGGGTCTTCTCTAAATACAATTTTGCTTTTCTGTTTTTACTGGGATGCAGCTTTTGCATTGATAGCATTTATGATGCTTTAATAAATTGCAATGGTCTATTAGATATTGTCTTGCAAATACACTGTTGTGAACCCCCCCCCCCGGAGAGGTTCGGCTGTGGGGCAGCCTAGAAATTAAATAACCAAGCAGATCAATAATCAATACTGTCTAGAAAGAGTCTCTGTCTAAAGTTGGCTTTAACCCAGCGGTGGCCGTTGGCAAACATCATGGATGGGCCACCATCTCCCCTCTCTGGCCCAGTTTCACGCCTGACATGAAGCCGCTGGTTCTGCTGTTAATTAGAGAGCCCAGCCCTGAAATGCAGACCTGGTACTGCGTTCAGTTAGAACTAGCAGGCTAATTTTTTTGGCGTGTCTCCAAGCCAGTGCAGCCTTCCCAAGTCTGACCTTTGTGCAAAAAAGATATATATATATTTTTAAAGAAACATTCAAAGCAAAAGCTGCAGGCTACAGAATGGGTCGCTTAGAACAGTGCAACGATCTTTCTTCTGCAATTATTTTCTTTGAGGAAAGAAATGGATAGGAGCGCCGAATTCAGGCATGGGTTTTGATCTTCTTTCTTCCCCCTTCCCTCCTCCCCCTGCCACGTTTTCCCTCTTCAAATTATCCAAAGGCTGATGGGCTTTGTAATAAAAGTGCAGGTTATTTTGTGAGGGAGAGAAACGTAGGTGGGAAACTATGTGGCATCTTAAAACTAGGAGGAAAAGCTCGGCCTTTGGATGCTCCAGAAAATGTGCACCAACTCCCTTCACCCATTTTTTAAATGCAGGGCTCAAAATGCATCACCCACAACGATCACAACAAGGATTACAAAGATTCTGCCAGGCTGGCCAGCGGGGCCTGCCCAACAGAGAGGCGAAAGCGGAGTGGAGCCAACCTTTGGAAATTGCAGGGCTGAGGTAAAGATCAGGAGAAATGCTCCAATGGTGGGAGCCGTGGGCAGGAGGGGGGCTTGCGTGGAGGCGGCGGGACCTGCTTTGCTGGAGGAATCCAAGAGATGCCCTGGCAGTGGACATGGTGACCTCTGAATCCTTCCAAACCAAGGAAGCCGCCAGCTCCGATCTGATCCTTCTACACTGAGATGTTGGGGAGGTATTGAAGAGGTGCTTCCAGGCTTCCAGTTAGGAGCGCTTGGTATCAGATCATAAAATCCTGAGCTTAGGAAGGGGCTCCAGAGGTCATCCAGTCCAGCCCTGTTGCTCAGATAGGAATCCTCGAGCTAGAGCAGGGAGTTTGGCAAGTTCCTTTGGGGTCCTCACAAAAGGCCGGATGGGAAGATAAGAAGTAAAATGTGGTGACCATGCCAGCCAGATCTCCGCCTGGAAGAGCCGAAAGCCGGGAGGGGCTGCCCGCCCGAACGCTCCCCTGCGGAAACAAAGGCAGGTCCCAGAGCATTCAGACCGGCGGACGGAAGGCGAGCCAGCGGCGTTTGCTTTTGTGGGCCTTTTCTGTGTGCTGCGCTTTGTGGGAAATGCCTCCCAGTCAGGACCCCGCTTGAATGCTCCTCCACTGCAGGAGCTCGGCTGAAATGCGCCCAGGATGAAAAAGCAGCGACGGCCCCCACCACACCTGGTAAAAATTGTGCTGCAAAGGGAGATTCACTGGGGGGGGGGGCATGGACAGAACCCCAAAAGCAGCAGCCGGTGCTGCGTGCAAAGCACGGATCTCAAGCCCCCAAATCGGCTTCACCCCGTCCACCCCGCAGAGGAGAAACGGACGCAGAGGAGACAAACGGGGGCTTGGACGCAAGCCACAGGTGTGTGTTTCCTCCTCCGTCCCCATCCTCTTTCCTTTTGCCGTGCCTTCCAGACCGAAGCTGTTTCATCACAAAGCTCCATCAAGCGTTCTGGGAGCCTCATCTGGCTGAAGAGCGGGTGGTCCTCGTTTATTATTATTATTTATTTATTACTTATTTTATTATTATTGAATGTTGATGCCAAAGCTGCATAAGTGATCGAGAACGATAATGCGATTAACCACTGCAATTATTGTTAAGATCTCGAGGGCCGGCATCCGCGATGCCAAAACGGAGCCTTCCGGCTCTGAGCAGAAGCTGAGGCTGCTTTTCCTAAGCTCCGTTTCTGCCCCCCACCCGCGCGGCACACGCCAACGAGGCGAGATTATCCTGAAGGGGCGTGAGCGATCGACAAGCTGTTCACCCGGGAAAAGGCACTTTCAGCCTGGAGCTGCTAAGAGGCACCCGGGGAGCTGAGCCAAGAAGGGCCGCGTTGGCTTGCCAAGGCGAGGACTGATTTCTCCGTTGAATTCGGGGGGTGGGCATCTGGGAGGAAGCCAGCCCCCTGTGCCCCTCATCTGGCTGCCAACAGCTCCCCCCTCCCTGCAAGACCTTTGGGAAGTGCTCCTACAGGAGGAGAAGATGGGAAAGGCCAGGCCAAGATGAGGGCAAAAGAGACAAGTGGAGAGAGCCCCTATGACAAAGGGGGGCAGTGTTGTGCAGTGGTTAGAGCAGTCAAGCTGGTGCCCGTCGGCTGTTCTGGGCTTCTGCCCCCACCAGCTGCAGCCAGCAGGGGTAACACTGAGGAATTCTGGGAATGGTGGTCCAAAGCATCTGGACTGGCTCACACTGGTCTAGAGTGACAGACAGGAAAGACCCTTGAGGGGACC